TACCGCCCCCGGGGAGGACCCGCCGGGCCGGGCCGGGCCGGGCTGGGCGCGCCGAGATGTCGCCGTGTGGGCCCGGGCGGTTCTTCTGCACGGCGGGCCGCGGGCTGGAGCCCTTCCTCGCGCGGGAGGTGCGGGCGCGGCTCGGCGCCACGGAGGTGAGCGGGGAGCCGGAGCTGGAGCCCGAGCCGGAGCTGGAGCCCGAGCCCAGCCGGGGCGGGGCGGGGCGGGCAGCGCGGCCGCGGGCGTTCCACGCCCCGGAGCCTCCTGCGGGCCCCGCGGGGCCAGGCCCGGCCGCAGTCGGAAGGGCCTCTGCACCGCGGGCGGGGGGAGCCGCCCGGGGCCGAGTCCCCCCGCCACCCCCGGGGCTGTGCGAGGGGCTCACCCTCAGCTCCCCGGCGGCTCCGGGGGTGCTCTCCCCGCAGGTGGACTGCGTCTCGGGAAAGGTGTTTTTCAGCGCGGCGGCGGGGCCGGGCGAGCTGAGGAAGCTGCGGTCGGGGGAGCGGCTGTTCCTGCTGCTGAAGAAGCACAGCCCGCTGGCGGTGACTGCGAACAAAGGTGCGGCCCGGCGCGGGTTGCGCGGGAACGGGAAGCCCCAGCTCGAGTCCTAGTGATAAAACTTATATTTGAGGTATTTATCTTTTTACTGATGGCTGTAGTTCTAATTGACAGTAATCGATTCTGAAGTGTCTTCCGCTCAGGTATGTTTTCAATATCTTTTTTTAACCTGAAAAGGGCTTTTCAGTTGTTTTCAATAGATACCTTCCAGCCTACCTTCTGCTGGCAGTGAATGTGTATATGTAAGAACCGCCGCCATCCCACCCACTCCCATAAGAGAAAAGATCAAACACCTCACCCAGAAACAAAAGTCCAGTTCCGGATCCCTTGTGTTCATTTTAACAGTAACTCATTTTCTGTTAGACAAAGTGGATCCAGGCCTACATCCTGTATCACTTGTTCAATACACAGATTCCTTGTAAATCTCAGCTACTTGGGTCATATTCTCTGTCAGTGTTGGAATAAGAATGTCAAGTTAGATGGATTGATATCTGCCTGCTGGTGGGTTTTTATTTGGGAGATCACTGATATCCTTCAGCTTTGAGGATCAAATTTGGCCATGGTTCTAAAATTTTGAGTGAGAACTAGGAAGACCTTTTTTTTTCTATTCCTCATGACCTGGTTTGAAGTATTTAGGTGAATGGCTTCTGCATTACTTGTGTCTCTCTTGTAGCTAGCTCAGGAGGACTGCCCACACATGTAAGTGTGTGTTGCAGGATTGAAGGCAGGTTGATGAATGTGAGGAGGGATTTCCTTTCTGAAAGAATAAACATGTGGCTTCTTGCTTGAGCTGAATCAAAATAATTCATGTTTGTCTTTCAGTCTTGGAAAGTGTCATACATCTCTTAGTCCTAGACCAAGTGCTCTCTGGGGAGGATGGCTTGGTAGGCTGGTCCTCTGTCCCTGGGAATGACTCTCGGAGGTCGTGTGGTTTTCTAGAGCTGTTGAGTTTTTGTGCAGAATTCATCCCTTGCACGATTTAATCTTGGTTGTGCAGAGCTTGTAATCGGAGGGATGCCTGTGTGTCTGCTGGTGGGCACGTGAGTGCTGAGAGCTCAGCTGTGCCTGTGGTGTTTGCTGCTGGTTCCTGGATTCACACATTCAGGAAGTCTGAACACAGTCTCTGTTAACAGCTGTTCTCAGTCTGTAGAAAAATCAAATGCTGAGACTGAACTACTTAGCACGAAACTGCTTTTTTCTTCCAGGGAAAATGCTGCATGAGATTAAAAGCCTTGTCATTGAGGAACCGAAATATTGGTTGGATATTATCTCTGTTTGGAGAAACCTTCATGGACATGAGGGGAAAAAAGGTGATGTCGCCCGAGAAAACCCATTGGCTCTGAAGAGAAAGTCAGAAGAAGAGACAAATACTGCAAGTAAAAGGCAGAAAACGGAACAAGAGAGAGACGTTGTGTCTGAGGAATGTCAGGTGGAAGCTGGAGAGGGGTGTGTGGTGCCAGAGAGAATCAGTGATCAGGAGTGTCGGACTGAGAGCAACACTTCCTCAGAAGACCCTTCCAAAGACAGGGGAGAGAATCGTACTGCAAATGAACAGCTTAGCTTCAGTTTCAGAGTGTCTTGTCGTTGTAGTGGAGCAATTGCCAAAATACTGACTTCACAGGTATGCTGAAGTGTCTGTGTTTTAAAAGAGTTTAGCAAAGGTGAACAGTGTCATGTTCTAGAATAACAAACTGATGTAAGCCTTTTCTGTATTTTCTCAAAAAACCCTTAACCTGCATTTACCTTAAACAAGTGGAAATACAAAGGCTGTTGTTAATTAGTTGTTGTTGGGCACGACTATCCTGAATGTTTTTCAAATCTATACCTTTTACTGAGAATAAGCAAAGGTAGGAGGTTGAGGTAGCTGGGCCTCGAGGCTGAGGAGTGATCAGATAAGTTTACAGCTACTTAAAGGGCCACTGCAAGAACTGTGGAGCCAGACTCCTCTCAGTTGTGGCAGTGTAGAAGAAGGGGCAAAAGCCAGAACTTGCAGCTTTTTCTTACTTGAAGCTAACAGTAGTTTAGATTTTTTTTCCTACTAAAACTAGTACTTTTAGTACTACCTAGTACCACTAGAGGTGGGACACATGAGCCTCCCAGCAAATTTGTCTGTTTGAACTCTCATACTCTGGAGATAGTCAGAGCTTTCTAGGTGTAATGAAAGCATTAAAATTGTGAGTTGTAGCTGTGCATTCACATGTTTTCTGTTGAGTAATCTGGTTTAGAGCCTTGGGAAATATTTTGTGTATGCGATTTAAGAATTCTGAAACGGTGGCAGCTTTTGTTGTGACTTGGGCAGGACTTGATCTCCAGCCTCCCTCACTCCAGTTGGGTGATGGTCGTTTGTCCTGTGGTATATTTGCTTCGCCCCTCACTCACCTGCTCTGCCCTCTTGTGCCTCTTCTGGTCTTTGTGTGAATTGTTCTCCTAGGGATAAAGAGAGACTGGTTCTTTTCCGTGGGATTTCTGAGAGTTGTGCAGTCATGGCTGGAAATTCTGTTATTTTTATTGCCTGTGACTGTTCTTCCTCCTTGCAGGAGATCGGAAGAGCTGTTGGCATAGCACTCATGAAGCAGTGTGGGTGGCGTGCTGACCTGCGGGACCCTGACCTCGAGGTAGTGCTGCTTGTCGGCCTGTTGGTGCTTCCCAAACTGCCCATGGCATCTTTTGTTTTGTTCTCTGCTCCCTTTGTATGGGGGCCTGTGGCCTCTTCCCAGTCGTCTTTCTGCCACTGAATTTACCTGGAAATCACCCGATAGCACTGAGCAAGGAGTGTCTGTAGCCCCTGTGTGTGCTTTCCAGAGCACTAAAATAAACCCAGCCTGGCCGCGTGGGCCTACACGTGAGGGGAAGGGTCTGTACAGGAGGTGTCTCAGGATCTGGCACTTACAGACTGCTGGATTCTGACTCCCTGCAAATGGAGATCACCTGAGTGTGGGGCACCTGGTTTAACCTCTACAGGGGAAGAGAGCAAGCAGCAAGGGCACGTTCTTGGGGAGCTAGACCTGAGAATGCCATTTGTGGAAGAACCTCCCCCTGGGCCCTGTCCTTGACAAGCAGCTTGCTTAGCACACCCTCGCTGGTGCAGGCTCCTGAAGACCTTGGAAAGGACTCGTTGCTCTTGACAAGCTGTTTCTCCATCCCTGTGTCTGGCCTGTGGAAGCTGCTCTCAGCACTAATGGTGGGAGATCTGAGACCTGTAAAATCTGGGGCTGGTTTTTCCAGGCTGAGCATTATGTACAGCTTTGTTGAGGCTTAGATAGGGCTCCTGTTCTTGCCCAGATTTTGCTCTGAATCTTGCCCAGATTTTGTTCATTCAAGTGCTGAGGACTAGAATTTTTCAACAGCATCATATTTTCCTCTGGACTTCCTGGGGGCAGGGATTGTAGTCATGCAAGACCTGCTGGGGAGCTCAGTCTTCTTTTGGGATGCTCCCTGTGTGGCAGCAGAAGAATTTCTTTGAGCTGTCTATGTTTCTGGAAGGATTACTCAGGTTTACCTTCCATCTGTAATGTCACTTACTGGCTCTACCATGAGTGTTGGGGTTTTTTTGTTTGTTTGTTTTTTAATATATTTTTATTTAAATGAGGGGGGTATGTGAATTGTTAAGTATACAGTGAATAATATTCTCCCACTTAGAATAAATGGATTCATTATTACAAATTTCCATGCTGTGTTACAAAAAATGGGTTCCCTTATAAATTCAAGTGCTTGTTGATGGATTCCTGGCTGACAAAATCCCCTTCTAGCTTGCTTAAGCATTAAATCCTCTTTAAAGTGGCATTCAGATTATCTAGTGGGATTTCTTCCAATTAATCATAATTGCCTAATGTATGCATTTTTGTTCTTAAAAACTAGGATTGGAAGTTTGTAGAAACATCTGTGTCTGGTTTAAAAGAGTTAAAGCTATTGTCATGTCAGGTTGAGAGTTTAAAATGTTTTGGGTTGTTTCTTTTTTTCTCCTTTAGATCTTTATACATCTTAATGACATTCACTCTGTGGTGGGGATTCCTCTTTTCAGGTAGGCATTCTCCTCACCAGATTTGTCTTGGTAGTATCAGAACAGGCAGGATTTGTAAATAGTCTTGCTGTCCACTGTGTCCATCTTCTAGTTTGATATTCACTGGATTGTCACATTAGTCTTTTGATCTGCTTGGAGTCTCTGTGAGGGCACAGGCCAGACTCTGCA